CCCGTTAGATGCTGGAAATTTAAAATAGATAAAACCTCTTTTAATCTATTGTCTTCCAGTGGAAATGCAATGACATTTTGAAGGCTGTTAATTATATCTAGTCTCTTTCAATTCATCTTTTTAATGTTACTTTGGCCTACATATTTTTATGAGGTTTCTTTCTGTAGTGTAATTAAAATTCACAGGACATTTCTGTATTCAGTTATATATTTCTTCCTAAAAGCTAAACATTTTTTGAGCTCCATGTCTTTCCTTGGCCTGCAATGCAGAAGTGACTTTTCTAGTCAGTATCTGTGGGACTTTTCTTTCTAAATATCATAGAATCATCAAGGTTGGAAGAGACCTTTAAGATGATCATATCCAACCACTAACCTGCCACTCTGCTGTAGCCCCTGAACCATATGCTCCAGTGCTTATGCACCCACCACCATATGCATCCAGGGATGGTGACTCCACCACCTCACTGGGCAATATTCCAGTGCCTGAAGACCCTAACAGTGAAGAAATTGTTTCAAGTATCTACTCTGAATCTATCCTATTTCAGCTTATGACTGTTCCCTCTCCCTGCAGGCATGGCAGGAGAGACATCCCCCACCTCTCTCCAGCCCCTGTCAGGGAGTTAAGTATGGATACATACACACATAATATGTATACAAACAACTGACAACACTTTCCTTTTGTCAAAAATGTCCTCAATTAAGCTCAAGTTGCTTTGAGTTACATATTTTCAAGAAAATTAACTCCTCATGGGAATCAGAAAGCAAATCTCAAAGTTTTATTTCTTTATTTTAGCATTGTCTCTTTTTATTGCTTTGTTGTTTCTTTTCTCTTTTAGAAACAGGAAAAGAAATCATCCCCTTCTACTGGAAGTCTAGAATCTGGGAGTGAGACAAAAGAGAAGCTGTTAAAAGGAGAGAGTGCTCTGCAGCGGGTTCAGTGTATTCCTGGCAATGCTGCTTGCTGTGACTGTGGCTTGGCAGATCCTCGCTGGGCCAGTATCAACCTGGGAATCACACTGTGCATCGAGTGCTCTGGGATACACAGGTTGGGGAGCTCTTCACAGCTGTATTTGATTTGTGCAGTGGTTTAATTAGGAAGGGTGGTGTTTGCCTCTTCAAACGTATATTGAAGCAAAATTAGAGATCTCTGTTTGCAAACAGAATTAAGTGAACTGCTTTATTTGCTTAAATTAATGGTAAATCTGTCTGAGGAAAGATAGAGCATGTAGTTATAGGTTAATGTTTTTCTCATGCTGTTTAGGAGCTTGGGAGTCCACTTTTCAAAAGTAAGATCTTTAACGTTGGATTCATGGGAACCTGAACTCCTAAAGGTATGATGGTATTTTTGAAACAGGTTTCTGTTTGGTACCTGGATTGTTGTTCTAAAGCCTCTGCATCAGAAAGTTCAATGCAGGAAACACTTGCATTTGAACCCAGTGTGTATCTTGCAGTTTTGAGCAGAAAAGTGTTTCTGGTTGTGTGTGGATTTATTTTAATTCACACTTCCTTAGCAGAAGTCATTCATGTTACAAACTTGCAAGTCAGAACAATTTATGGCACCTTCAGGTTCACAAGTGCACTTTGAGTAGCATGTTTCGTGTCATCCTTTCATCATATAAAAAGGGAAATCTGTTTACAGATCAGCAATGCCTTTCAGTGGGCTGAAAAATTTTGCAACTGGTATGTCAACATAAAGCACGGTCACGCTTGAAAATTTGGATGCCAACTCTTGACAGTGAGCTCTTGGTCCTTCTGGCTTACAGGAGAACACTCATGCAGCTGGTCTCACGTGCTATTTGTGTGCCAGAATTCTGGCTTGAAACATGGCTATGAAGTCATGTGGCACTGAAATAGTGACCAAGGAACTTGTGCATTGATGCATGTGTGCGACGGCGTAACCAGTGCACAGTGTTTGTGCCTAGCTGTGATGTTCTGGCACTTAGGGATTGCTTCTCTATTCTGAACAGTCAAAAGACAATGTGGTAGTTTCCTGTGGTTTGACCTTAAATAATTTTAATATCAATGTGTTCATGCTGAGGAAACAAACAAAAAAAAAACCCCTGAAACTATCCCCCTTGTCCTGTTTTATGTAGATACCACAGCGAAGTGTTCCCCCTGGTTTTGGAAGCAGGAAGTCTGTTCACTGCCATCAGTAGGGTCAAATTCTCATTTAAGTAGGATCTGCAGGCCAAATTTTCATCTTTGTTCTGTTTCTATAGATGTATCAGGTTATGGTTTAGCAAAAATGTCTGTTGGATGAGATGGAATAGGATTGATTGAATTGCCCTTTGCTGATGGGGTAAGAACAGCTCCTGGCAAAGCTGGTGGAAAAGAGCACCGTTGTTCATCAGGCCTGCTGGTGTCATTCTGACTGCACAAAAAAGGTTCTTGGATGACAGATGGTCATTTTTGCAGTCCTCTTTCAGTAGGGAATGGCACTTTAAGAGTGTGATAATATTTTTTGTTGCCTTACTCAGAATTTGGTCTCTGTATTCACTGGTTGTTTCGCTGTCATGATACAAAGCCATGCTTATTTCTGAAGTGTACTTTTACCAGTGAAAATACTAAGTAGTATAAGTGGGCTGAGTGAGGTTAAAAACAACTAAATAGATAGAAAAAGCTTTTTGCAACTATGTTTGAATTTATTTATTTTGCTTTATAGCTTATGTGTGAATTGGGAAATGATGTTATAAATAGAATATATGAAGCGAAGTTGGAAAAAGTGGGAGTAAAGAAGCCACAATCTGGAAGCCAAAGGTAGTATTTTACCAGCAGTGCCTGTTCCTTCCTTTTCTTGTTGTTTCCTTCAGTCTCCAGCTTTAAGAGATGCTGCCAGTTAACTGCATAACACTCCTTGGGTGTACTCTGTTTCCCTGTATCACCAGCATGTTTTGCTCTCTCCCTTTTCTCACTCTCTATCTTTGTTGGATATTCATTCTGTGAGTCTCTTTCTGCTTCCTCTGTTCACTTGTTCTTTTTCTGATCTCCCTCTCTCCTGATGACAACTCTCTAGCATCAGTGTGGGCATGTGGCTTTTGTTTCCTCTCTGCTTTGGTACCAGCTCAGCCAACCATACTCGGCCTGTGAGTGCTCCTGGAAGGAGCCTGTGGCTGTGCCTTTTGTTTACACTGACTTTGTTCTCAAGTTTGACTTTTGTTCCCTGATCCCCAGAATGTTCTTTTCTTCCTGCCTACGTTGTACATAAGCTCTGCTGCTTTCCAGCAGCCTTCAAATCACTGTGCTGCTGGCTTCTATTTCTCTGATGCTAATTCATGTTTGAAGGTGTTTTCCTCATGTTTTGTGCTGCTGTACAAGATATCTTTAAAAACTTGTTTTTCTGCTAGCTTTCCAGTTCTGTGCTGCTTGCTAGCAGGCAATTTTATTGTAGAGAACTTTTATGAATCATTGACAATTTGGAGACAGTGATGATAATATTAATAATGTAGAAGATTTGCTAGGTATTCCTTCTAGTGGTAACTGCTTTTCAGCAGTTTCAGTGGTAGTAGTTGTTGCCCCTTTCATCAGTTTGGCACAACTGATGTGTGTGCCTTAGGCTGATGACCTCAGGTTACAAGAACAAATACTTTGGTGTGGGGTATGGAACTGGTGGCTCTGCCTACCTGTGATTCATTACTGTTTTCTTGTTTAATCTCAGTGTTCCCTTAACAAATGTTGCAATTTATATCTACCAAAGAAACTAAATATATGCTATATTAATTGGTTATTAACAATGTAAGACATGTATAAAGGTGTAATACCAAGAAGTAACATACAGTAACTAATGCTTATTTCTTCCATGTGCCACTTTCTAAAGTCTCTGCCTGAAAAAAATAAATATATATGAACTTAACAAAATTACTTTCTTTTGAGCCTTATGCAAAACTTAATCAAGAATCTAGAAAGGGTTAGACAGTGTGAGTTGCATCTTTCTGAAAATGTGCTGTAATTGTGTCTTATGTTCAATGCCAAACCACAGTTTTGGTTACTGATGTTAGTATGAAGTAGACATTCTTTTAATACATGAAAGCACTAAAATATTAGCTTACTAACTCTGGGGATTTTGTATATGGCAGGCAGGAGAAGGAGGCATACATCAGAGCAAAATATGTGGAAAGGAAGTTTGTAGAGAAGCAAGCTGCATCAGTACCTCTGCTTGAATCTGGAACAAAAGTTGTACCTCCAGGTCAGGAAGAGAAGAGGCACAGTGTCCCTGAAAAATCCCTTTTGGCAGGGGAGCAAGGTGCAGCATCCCCAAAAGGTATTTACACTCTTCTCTCCATAGCTGTGTTACCCATGTTCTTTTTAAAGTAACATGTTTTTATATTAATTGATTTCTGCCTTGTGCAGAGAACTCACAGTCTGTGTGTTAACGGGTCGTAGCGTAGTGCAGGTGTATAGGGGAGGAAAGGCTTGTTCAGAGATGTGCATTTTTTTACGTGGGGAAGAATTTGGAATGGGGATGCTTATCATTCAGAAACATATTAACCACCTTCTTTCCTCCTTATTTTCATCCTTCTTAATTTTTCCAATAACGTTCTTTCCTGCCCTGTCCCTTCCTTACTGCCTGCTTTGTGCTTTGCTAACTTGCATGTCCCAGCGGTTGCTGTAAGTAGCGACGAGGCGAGGCGAGAGTCTCTGTTCTGTCCTGATGAACTAGATTCACTCTTCTCCTACTTTGATACCTCTTCAAAACTACGTAGTAGTAAGTACTACAGCTGTGGCGTGTTCAGTATTTGCAGTAGTGATCCATTGTGTTGTGGCCATCTCCCTGCTTTGATCTGTTGTCTTCAGGCTACTGCATTGCTTAGTGTTTTCATGAAATAATTTAAGCTTTTTTACTTATCCTGATGCTTTTTTTTCCTTTCTGGTAACATTTGGCATTTACATTTATTACAAATGTTATGGTTGCAAAATGTGATTTCATATTTTTCTATGAATGCATTAAGAATATTGAGTAAATACTAGCCATTTTAAAAGAAATTATATGTTCAGGACCAAGTATAAGAGCTTGCTTTATTATCATGGTATCTGTGTAGAGCAGGTAGCTTAGGCTCTGCATAGTAATTACAGTTTCTCCCCAAAACAGTCCGAAGCAGTGACAGTGGGATCCAGCAGAGCACAGATGACAGCAGAGAACACCTTGCCTCTACTGTATCAGCCAACAGTTTGTATGAACCAGGTGTGTTAGTCTTTGCACTGGAACATGAAAATTTAATCAGCTGGTAGCATTTCTTTTGTAGAAGAGATTAGTGCTTGGTGATACAGTTCATGTCTCTTGATATCTTGGTGGGTTTATGTAGAAGAGATTAGTGCTTGGTGATACAGTTCATGTCTCTTGATATCTTGGTGGGTTTAAATGCTTTTAACAAGGATAAAAATTGCTTGAGTGATCTTTCCCTCAGGCTTGCAACCAAGACTGACATTTAATCCTTCTATATGCATTCAAAGAACTGTTTTTTCCAGCCAGATGAGACTGATCCAAAACTTTGGGGTTTTTGCAGATAGAGCAACGCTGCATTTTGAGACAGACAAGTCTCCACAGAAATGCATAATCCTTTTATAAACAGATAAATCCTTGGAGACAGAATTCCTGTTGAGTCACACATAATAGGCTTTTATGTGTTACTTGAGCATTCTTGCTTAATTTTTCTGTTTTCTGCTTAGGTGGAATTGGCTGTGTCCTTAAGCATTACCCCCTCTGCTCAATTCTGTAGACTGATTGATGAAATTATTTGCTATCTAAGATTAGCAGCTGGTCTGGCATGTGTGCTGAGTATGGCTTCTCAAAATATCCCAAACATTTATAAAGCAAAGTTCTTGTACATCAAAGCACCCTTCTGAGGCGTGTTTTCCATCCAGTAGCTCACAGCTGTGGTTGTAGGCAGGCAGCACGTGGCTTGGATCTTTCCTGGCTGCATTGTAAAAGCATCTATGATGCTGTAACTCATGAAAGCTTTTATACAACATTTTTATCTTCCAGACTTCACTCTGTAAAACTCCTACTGAGATGAAGAGAGAGATTATGCGTTAGTCTAGAAGGTTATAGCCACAGCAAGGAATTGGTAAATGACAATGGTATCTTTTTAACCAAAATTAGGTCAGATCAGTGTTAGAATCATATTCAGGTGTATCAAGCTGTTGCAGATAAAGATATATTTGTATGACTACATCTCTGCAGGAAATTAGTTTTAGTCATATCTTGCAGTTTAGAATAAAACGCACTTCAAGCTTAAAATAATTTCTTGGAAATGACACGGAATATATAGATTGAGGGTTATACATATATGTCAGTGACGTGGAGAGAATGTTTTCTGTGCAGTAGTAGTTCTGTGAGAAGGCCCTGCTTGAATGCTGGAACAAGCTAAAGGCATCTGTGACTTCTCCTGGCAGCATGGGGCAACAATATACAGCACTCTGCAAACCCTGAGCTACCTTACGCCAGAGAAATGGCGTTTTCGGTCAGAGTTCCAGGAGGTACCTTGTCAAAACAGGGATTAGATATGCTTTTCTTTTTTTTTTTTCCCCCTTTTCAGAAGGAGACAAGCAAGAGTCCTCTGTGTTCTGTGACTCCAAACAGCCTAGTCCAGGATTGCAGTTGTATCGAGCTGCCTTTGAGAAGAATCTTCCCCATATGGCAGAAGCATTGGCCCATGGAGCTGAAGTAAACTGGGTCAATGTAGAAGAAAACAAAGCAACACCACTTATCCAGGCAGTGCGAGGGGTGTGTGATGTACAGCACTACTACTGATGGGGGAGGAGGGGAAGGGGAATAATGGGGATATTTGTGTCACTGTTCCTTTTGAACTGCTTGCTTTACTAATGAATGATAGTGTGATGCTGAAGTTGTGTTTACAGTATTCTCTCAAAGTTGTTTCTAAGCTATTTTTTTCCTGTCAATGCTTCATTTGGAATTATGTAACCTAGTAGTGTTTAAAGTTGATATGGAAGCAAATCCCTTTTGTTTCCATCGCCACATGGCTCAGTGGTGAGAAGCCAGGATAGGTTTGGCTCTTATGCTAGAGATCTGGTGTTGAGTTGTTATTTTGCTTTTATTCCCTAGGGTTCATTGGTTACTTGTGAATTTCTGCTGCAGAATGGGGCCAATGTGAACATCAGGGATGTGAAAGGAAGAGGGCCCCTGCACCACGCCACGGTCCTGGGCCACACTGGGTAACTCACTGCTTCAGTTTGTGAAAGGCTGCCCTTTACTGTAGTTGTTCATATGAAGCTTCTTGATTGCACCAGATATTCTGGCGTTTTGATGCTATTTCAGGTGTTAATAGGCTGTTCTTAAGCTCTGGTTGTGAGAGAGAAAACAATATTTTGATTTAGCAGTCTCATCGACTAGCAAAACACACGTGTTTTCTAATGCCAATTAAATAAGTTTTTGCTTCCTCCTGTGTTAACATGTCCCAGATGAACAGTGCTATTTTGATATATTGAACAGATTTTTGGTGATTTAAGCTAAGTACATTGTATCCAGTTTGAATTTATTAGCTTTTTTCCTTTATTGTTGTCAAAAATATTCTTTTTTCTAAACAGACAAGTGTGTTTATTCCTAAAACGAGGAGCAAACCAGCATGCCACTGATGAAGATGGGAAAGATCCATTGAGTATAGCAGTAGAAGCTGCAAATGCAGATATTGTAACACTGTAAGTTGTACCTTCTGTTTTTCGACTAGATAACTTAGAGTTTGCTTTTCTGTTTCAAGTTAAAAACATACGACGTGTCAAAATTCCTTTGCATAAAAACAGGGAGAGCAAACAAAAAAACAGAGTGCACTATCCTTGGATTATCTCATTGATATGAGGTTCAGGAATTCACTGTAGGTCTTGCATTGTAGTCTGTCTTGTGCTTTAAAGATGACATTGTTGTCTTTGTGTTCTGAACCGCAGGCTGCGCTTGGCGAGGATGAACGAGGAGATGCGCGAATCGGAAGGACTCTATGGGCAGCCAGGTCAATACTCTACTAATAACCACACTGAAATGCAGTATAAGAAGTGTATGCAGGAATTTATCAGTTTACAATTAGATTCTTAGTATCTGAGAGAAATTTAAGATAGCTCCATCCAATAATGTTGTTTTATAACCCAGCACATGTTAAAACGGCACTGGAATTCACTGGTGTGACTCTGGGGGACCTGAAAGGAGAGTGTTTGAAGAGCATCATTATAATAGTGTGTTACTGCAGCCATTGCCATCCTGTTCTGCTGATAGTGTCCAGTTTTCTCCTATTGTTGTTCCATTGAAATTTGTGTAATGTTAGGGTTTACCTGACATTATTTAGTAGCATCTTTCTGACCCGACTTGCTCAGAGACAGTTGAGGAGTTCATCTTATTACAGGATACCATTCTCCTTCCTGTGGAATGGGCCTCTTTTTTTTTTTCTTTTTTTTAAGAAAAAAGATGCTTGCACGCCGATGTAAAAAATGTACATCAAATATTTCACAATAATTCCAGACAGAAATAGGAAAGTAGTATTTTCTCAGATTTTATTTTTAAATATTTTTATTTAAGATACTAATAAGAAAGAAAACAGTCATTCCTAAGTATGTATTTTTGTATGCATAATATCTTTCTGTTTGGTTAAGAAACAAAACAAACTGTCAGATGTTTGAGCCAACCAGTGCAGGAAAGTAACAAACTGTATTTAATGAATATGTGCAAATTTATTCTCAGGCACTCAGTCCCAACTTACACCATGTTCTGATGTGGTATTTATGCAAGCCATTTCTTCTGTTATGGTGTGCTTCATAGGAACCTAATTTAATGTCATGCAGATATCACTAATGAAGACTCTTGATTGTGAAGTTAGCTAAAAGCATCCTGCTATACCTGGCAGGAGCGAAAGGCAAATTTTACTTTTAAGGTTGAGTGCTGAGTACTCTTGGCTCACTCCTATGAAGCCCTTATGTATTTTCCACTGATTCATAAGGATTGTGTGTGCTTATATTTTGTACCAGATTGGTACTGGAACATTGTCAAGGGGCAAAATTGAGTCTCATGTCAAAATCCTAGATGAACTCTATTAAACAAGCCAAATTTCTTTAGTTTCTCCTTACAAATAGATTTTTTTCAAACTTATTTTTGAAAAAAATCTTCTTGGAAATTCAAATTAACACAGTAAAAGTACTATAGACACTCAGACATTCAAATGCTTCCTTTGACAGAGCAACAATTTAAAGGTATTTGCTTGATTATGAGCTCAAATGAGGAAGTTCCCCCCTCAGAAAAGGCAGCCAATTTCAGTGTAAAGCTATTTTCTGACACAGTGCATACTACTTCACTGGTGGGCTGAAGGTAACAAATGCTGAAGTACTTTTGAGTTTCCTCATTTGAATTTTCAGAGGTAAAAATGCTGACTGTCAGTTTCAACTAGTAAAATGCCTTTGTTGTAAGGGAGGTATGTGTTTTGGCTCAGAAGCTCTGTGCTGAATCCTAAGTTTGTATTTTAGATCATTTAATCATCTGTTATAAATCCAAACTTGCTATAAACCAGAAGATATGTTTCTATAGTTTGTACAAAAAGCTTCAGTTGGTTACTAAAATTTGCAAATGTATAGTAAAATGTTGCATTCATAGCAATTACAGGCACTGCTTACATGGAAATGTGAAGTAGATATTTCCCCAGATAACTCACTTGAAGTATTTTTAGAGCCATTCTCCAATGAGATAGATGAAGTAAAAAGGTGCCTAAGTCTTTCAGTGAAAATATTGTGACCTTTTTGCTGGTTACTGTAGAATCTAGGGACTGCAGTTGATACAATCTGATCCAGATGTGTGACAGGTGGTAAGGTGAGATTGACAATGGAGTAGAGAGCAGAGTGGCCACAACAAGTGGAGCTTTCCCAAAATCAGGGGAGGGTATCATTAGAATGAGTTTTGAAATTAAGGCCACGAGCACAGTGTCCCAGCCAGGCCATATCTTTCGATAGCACAGCTCTGCTCCCTGCAATTCCTTACTTTCTGAAGTCTCTTTTAAAAGCTGAAGTCAGTATATTATTGTTCTGAATGTTCCAGTCTGCTGACCTGCTCGAGGGATTGTGTCAGTGTAAGCACAAACCTGTCTCTGCTGTGACAAGGTGTCACACTTGCATGTGGTTCTAGGGGATGCAGGTCTTTTTCACCACATATACATATTAAATTATCTGCAGTGCCCTTATTTTACAACTCCACTGTTTCAAAATTATGATTCCAGAAGAAAATAAGGACTTTGTAGGCACGTGTATTTGCTGGGAGCTATGTGAGGGTAAATAGTGATGTATGAGTTTGCTGTCATCAGAGTGAAGCCAACTGCCAACTTCTCAGCCCTAGTAATGCAGTTGATAAACAATTGCTCATGTAGCTAACAGCATCAACATTTCCAACTTCAGTATATCTGGCTGGTTTGAGCTACTGAGAGAATGTATGTGTTGCTTTGCAAGGTACAGTTGGTCTTCCAAAGTATTCCTAAAATGGGAACTAGCTGAAACTAGCTCGTTTCACAGAAAGTGTTTCTGGTGGTAGAAGCCATATGCACCATAGTACTGTTTCTTGTCAGATACCTGAGTGCTCATCTCCTGGTGCTACAGTACATCTGTAACTCTGTGACATTAGCATTGCTGCTTTTTCTTCCTACCTGTTCTTGAATGTATGATGTGTGCCTTTTGAGTTACTCTGGTGTTAAATGGTAAAGCAGTGTTACAGTATTTTTGTACATAAAATCTGCACTTTAGGGAAAACATTGCTTGGAAAAGGAATTTCCAGAATTCAGTTTTAACGTAGAATATTAAAATAATTACAAGGTTTACAGTGCTAAGTATTTTCATGCAGCATACAAACTAAAAGGGCACTTTATTTTACTCTATTTTTGTATGTAATATTTTTGTTATGTAGTAGAGCCAAAAACAGAGCCACCATGTATCTTGCAAAAATAGCTTTTCGTTTTTCTTTCAAGTTGATTTGAAAGAACCAAATATGGCAACTTGAACTACAGTACTAGTTCACCAGTGGAACACACTTCTGTATGAAAGGCATAGTGGCTTTTATTGTACTAGTTTGATTCTGCTTTGTGCCCTTCATGGCTGTTCTTCTGGTGAATGTCACAGCTCCAATCTGTGCTGGCCTCCCAGGGCAAGCAGTTACCACAGACTGTTAGAATAAATTGTGTCTTGTGCCTGCTTCATCTCTAGAACACAGAATCACAGAGTGGTTTGGGTTGGAAGGGACCTTAAAGATCATCTAGTTCCAACCCCTCTGCTGTGGGCAGGGATACTATACTTGAAATTCAATCTGAAAACCCAAAGGGAATTTCACTAGAACTGAATTTGCCTAGTAGAGAGTACTGAATGTATTTATTGTTTAAAGTTTGGGAAGAATTGTGACACTGCATCGTTGTATAAACCCACAAGCCTGTTAAATATTCCTGGAAGGTCAGTTAACATTTGTGAAAGTGTTTTCAAAAGAATGGAATCTCATCTCCAAAAGAATTATAGTTCTAGTATTGGAAATGTGCATTAAAAATTGAAAAACAGAACTGTACCTTTTCACAATAGTGCAAACCTTAAGCACAAACACGTTCTCTTTAAAACTGCCCTTTGGAGAGAAAAAAAAAAGGTGGTGGAATAGTACTTTTCTTCCACAATCATGTTGGGGAAAAAAATGTTCATGTTCAACATATATGATGAGAGAGATTTTGGGTTGGTTTCTTTGTCATGTTATTAATCAAGCTGTCAGCAAGAAACAGTAGTGCTGGGATCTTGTGTCCTGTGTGGTCATCTGGGTTGGGAAGACAGTAGAATCTGGATGGCTGCATAGTTACTGACCAAACCAAATGTCATTTAATTCCCTTCGAAGGCAATAGGGTGTGGTAATGTTTTCACATGAAACCTGAACTCCAGGCCCAAAATGCAGCAACAGATGAAAGAATGTGAAAATGCCCATTTTAAAGTGGCACAAGAATGACTTGGCAATGACTCGAGAAGTAATTGTTCCTGAATGTTTTCCTGTGTGGACAGGGAGGGGGAGGGACACAGACCTGGTGGAAATTGTTGTCATCCCTCATTTTGGAATGTGTACTAGTAGTTGGCTTGTGTTTAAGCACAAAGGGTGAAGATAAAAAAGAAACAAATGAAAGATTTTTTTTAAGGGAAGTATTATCACTGATATAGATAAAATTGAAAAATGTAATGAAAGATGTAGATGAAATGAATGTTAAAAAATTGTTTGCTGAAGTAATAGACCAAAAGTATTTATTAACAATGATTTATCCACTTAGGATTGCCTTTTTTTTTATACTATTGCTTGCTGATTTTTTCTTTCCTGGAGAGTTCTGTTTGGCTGTAAGAATTCTGACCTCTGTTTCCAAGTAAATCTTTATTTATGCCATAATTCTATTTTTCTGAAGAGAATCTTGGTTAGCACTTCCTTGCAAAAAACAAAGATTTTATTCTTTAATGGCTAATAAACATTTTTCTTTTTATGTTGCTTTAAAATGCTTTCACTTTTCCTTTCTAACTCTGAGCTTTCCTCTGTGTGGCTGCCTGTGAGGTACTATTTCAGGTATAGTTTGGCTTTGTTTAATTTGCTTCTACAGAAATGCATGCAAGTAACCAGTTCTAAAGACTTCACATCGGCATCATTCCATCCATGAGCAATCTTTATTCATGATTAAGTGTTACATAGTAATTGATAGCACTGCAGGGCATTTGTGTAGTGGTGGGTGATGTTGACTGTCACAAATGTTTAAAACTGTTTCCCTTTTCTGTCCTTTCTAGGAGATGAAATTTATCAGGACATTTTTCGTGACTTTTCTCAAATGGCATCAAATAATCCAGAGAAGCTAAATCGCTTCCAGCAGTCAGACTCCCAGAAGTCTTAAGTGTCAAGAAGGAAAAGATCCCGATGCTTATAGTGCAAGTCTTTTTTTTACTTCAACAGAATGAATTATATGCATTTTGTTAGATAGTTTGGATAAAATGACCACTCTAATGTAGCTTTAGATTGTGGTAGCTGGGGAAATGTATGAGTTGTTTTATGTTCTACAGTACGTATACCTCAGCAGCTGAAGAAAGTGTTTAAGAAACCTGAATACCTGCTAGCTCAGTATAAAACCAGCACCTGTTAGCAAGTACTCTGTGTGTCTGCAGCTCATACACAAAGGCAGCAGAGCACAGCTTTGTGCATCACAGACTCCGAATGGCAGGATGGTCAGAGCAGCTTTGCTGTTCTGGATCATCCACTGTCAGTTGTCTCCCCATTGCCATAAACAATGTGCCTCTGACAAGAAGGTCTGGGTTGCATTTTCTGGGACTGTTTGGAAGGGAAGTTGGGTGATGACTTACGGAGTTGTCCTTCTATTTGTGGGTGGTAACTTAATAGATTCTCTTGTTCCTACCCTGACTCTGGTCAGAGGTAGGCTGTCAGTAACAGACATGATCACTCCTGCTCTTCTGCAAGCTCTTTTACAGTGGAAGCTCCAACACCAGGCTGGCCTTTATGCTGGTGACTGCAGGTCAGTCACAAAGGTATATCTCCTGGGGGACCAAACTCCTAAATGCTGTCTGTCTTCCTTTTTGTTTTCTCTTAAGTTAAACTTTCGGTGCAGCGAGTATGCTTCTAGATGAGCATGTGGAACCTTTCATGAAAAATAAACTTAATCCTTCTGGACATGACGTGGGGCTTGTTTGTAGTATTTTGACATCAAAACTTGAAGTTAGAGACATGCAAGTAGATATCGAGCCAATGGAGTTTGTGTAGAACAGTTATACAAAGACTCTTTTCTACTTTCTCTTTTTGCTGTTCTCAGTACTAGCCCTGAGCTAAATATATAAAGTCTCGTAAGTCATGCAGCCACCCTGAATGTAGGGCAAGCAATCCTTCATGTCAGGAAGCAGTATCCCCCTTACATAGTCTGCAATGATATGTATGTATACTGTTGAAGAAACTTAAGGTGAGCACGAGAAAACCTAGGAATTTCAGTGCCCATTTTTGCCAAGTGGTGAATGAGCAGTCTCCAGCTGTGTTCTGAGGGCGGTGGCACAGTCTGCTTTATTCAGCAGTGAGCCCCACTCTGCTGGGTGCATGTGTGAATGGTGTCTCTAGATATGTTATGTGCCAGGTTGTTTAATACCTAGATAATAATCATCTGAAGCTCCAAACCAGCAGATGCAGTTCTTTATGCTCTCTTTGACTGCTCTGTGGACAACTCAAGCAGAATTTTTCGCTAACATAGTGTCAATGTGAGTTTTCAGTAATGCTGATAGCTGTGTTATTATGCTAACCTGCTGTGTAAGTGTATTTGGGAACTGAATTGGCTTTTCTCCAAGCTGGATAAGATAAGGAAAATGGGGTTTGAAAAGTTAAACCTGTAAACTATGGTAAAATTAAGCTTTCTGGCATGTTAAATTTTAACAAGCTATTTCCAATAGTTATAATTTTGTATCATGTACAATAATATATCGAATATGGATATTATTATTGCTGCAAAACTAGTAGCATTGTAGAATTGTCCAGAAGTTTCTTTTTCCAAGCAGAAGAGTCTTACAAAACAGTTCTTGCCTTGTGTGTGGTCTGATTATGCTAGGCAAAGCAGATTCTGCCCATTTAAAGAGTGCATTTAGTCTGAATGATAACAAACTTAAGAATTTCACCTGTAAGTAGTAATTTCTAGTAAGTTGTTTTTAAATAGCTGTCTATGAAATTATAATATACTTCTTAATCTGCAGTATTTATCAGCAGTGGGTGTTGGAGTAGATCTTAGAGAAAGTAAGATTCCCAGTGTACAGATGGGACAATGTAAGATATGACTATGTATAATATACACTTTAGACATAGGTTTTTCTAAATATTTGTCTTTTGCAGCCTAGGTGCCAGGCAGTAGGTAGTGTGATTGGCTGTAATGTAAAGCTGCCTAAAGTTTAATGGCATAAGTGCTGTCTCAGCCCATGCTGCTGGAAAAAGGTTTGAGACACTTACTTCAAATCTCCACTGGTGATTTCTTTCCTAGCCACAAAAATCTCTCTGACAAATTTTGCAGGATGACTTCTCTAAACAAAGAAAGTTTCCTCCCTGTAGCTCTGCAGATCCATGTGCTACATTCCTGGCTCTCAGCTGTCTGGGTAACAGTATCAGTCTGTCTGTGCTAAAGGACTAATCACATGCCTGATGGATAGGTTGTATGATTCTTGTCAGGAGCACTGGAGTTTTAGTGGCTCAGGGAGTAGGTATGTCACTCCTGATCCTGCAGCCTCATTCCCCAGTACTTGTAGGTACATTAAAATGTCCAGTACAAACTGAGTTCAGTTAAAGCTTCTCTCAGGTCGGGTGCAATACATGTGGTGACATTTTGCTCATCAGCAAAAATCAATTCACCAGTAAGTTCCATGGAATGTATTGATGGCTCAGTCCCACCAGTCTCTGGCAGGCTCCAGGGCCTCTGTGACTGGCAGGATTCAGCTCTCAGTAACAAAGTGGGATTATCACCAGGGCTCTGCAGACCTGGATTGCATATTGAGTTTTGACTCAAGTGCTAATCTGTTCAGTCATATTAGGAAACTTTTTATTGCAAAATCAATCTGAGTATAACTAGCTTGGTAGACAGCGAGGTTCCATTGTGGGTTAACATCTTGTACTGTGTACCAGGCAATGAAAAGCTTCAATTCCAGCTCATGTGTCTCTGTAGGTATGAAATATAGTAGGTTTTAATTGGTGAGGAACAAAGCAGTAGATTCCTAACACAGTTTAAAATAAGCTTTCACATGGATTTTTAGTAATTTACTAGATGGCCCACTGAAAGATATTATAATATTTTTCCTATTTTATAGATCATATGTTCCAAAAGTCTCTTGGAAAGAGAAATGTTCAGGAGCTCAACATATATTCTAATGCATCTTGCTTTCAGAGGTGTAACTTATATTCATTGTGCATTGACTAAAATAGAGTCTGTGGCATCTCCTTAGTGGTCTCAATTGTTTTGATTGTTCATAAGGTTCCATGTTCTATGTTAATGTCAGTACAGTGCACATACACTTAAGTTTCCCAATTATCACACTGAATTATGCCACTGACTTGTGTTAGCTGGAATTGGTTCCCAAGAATTTGGGGGAAGGCAGTAGATGGTGGAGGTATTTCTTTACTTTCATGAGCAGCCCACATTGCAGTCTGATGAATGCATGTGCCAGGTGCTCACTGGTATGTTGTGGGTTTCAGCCTCTTTGCCAATTAGGACCTACTCCAGGAAGTCACTGAAGTCAATGGGAGTCTTTCCACTGATTTCAGAGGCTTTTGGTTGCACCATTTGTGGCTTCTAATGTTAGTGTGTTAAAGGATCTTGTATTAATACTGCATTTTTCACTTCATGGGGTTTTATATTTTACCTGTTTGTATACTGAGCTGAAATAGTTTTAGAAAATGCAACCAGACCTTCTAGCTGCTGTCAGCAAATCCCTGTACGGGAGGAAGTTTCTCCAGTTTTGCAGTATGACATCAGTGCACACATGTTGTCCAAATTATAAGTTCTCCTGGATAGAGCAAACACGTCGTAGCACCAAGGAAAAATTTGAGAACTAGACCAAGCAGAAGGTTGATGTGATATTTCCAGGACTTTGGAGCTTCTCTACAGCCATCTGTTTTAAAGTGTGGATGTTAATTCTACTGCTTCATCATAAGAATCTCAAATGACACAGTGACTGTGAAAGGACCCTCTGATAGAACTGCAAATAACGTGTACAAGTACCAAGGACGTGATATTTTTTACAGTGTCCAAAGGACTGAGCTGATTCTTCTGATTCTTAAATACACAAAGTATTTTGAGAATTAGTTTTGCAGACAACCCTCTCTGCCCATTCACCGATGGACACTTTTTCCCAAGTTAGAGTTTATGCCACTGGTTTGTGCATCCTGACAGCCAACATGCCCTGCTCTGTGCTTGCACAAAGGCAGAGTTTTAGAACAAGGGACAGCTCTGGAAAGACACTCCTGGGGAAAAGGATGAGTGTACCACTTTGGTATATCCCCTTTCATATGCTTGCTTTATCTTTCTGCATACGATATTTTCTTGTTTCTCTTCCCATGGAAGGAGATGATAGAGGAAGAAAAATTCCACTCACTTTTCCATTAGAATCCCGGATTTTCCATGTTTTGAATCGCTGAGAAATCATTGTTTCCTCAAGCACTGACATTCCTCTGTCTGAAATAATGAACTTGTATTTCTTTATCTACGCGTTCTTCTGTAGCTGGTGCTTTTTAAGCATTCCAGCAGTAAAATGTTTGTGATCTCCTGTGCACCCTCCCCCCCCCATAAGCTGTAACTGTACAGGCTGTATAACCAGCCCTCCTCCCGTTCTGTACGGCTGTAACTTTGTATCTAAAACTTGAATGTGCTTTGTAGTTTGTCATGGTAAAGGGGCGGGGAACATGCACGGCCTCCTCGGGGGCTGGACGGGCTGTCCTCGGCGCGCTCGTTAGCGCTGTGTGCGGGGCTGGGGGCGCGGG